ATTTTGATCAAATAAATCGATCAATTGATTGGTCCATGATAAATCTGTGCATAGTATAGTGGAATGTGTAATGGTGGGAATATGACGATATAATCGATCGATCCATTATTTTTTTTTTTTTTTTTAGTCAATCAATTGATTGCTGAAGCACATCTGTCTGTCAGAACTGTTTATCTCATCATAAAAATCAATCATCACCATGTTGTTGTTTTTATCTGAATCGTCATTTTGATTTAATCGTAACAATTGAATACATATCAATCATTGTCATTGAACAAGAACAACAACAAATGACATGAGAAAGACTTTATTTTGTAGATACAGAAATTATTTCATAAAGAAAATGTCGGTCAAATTATTGTTAGGATAATTATACCATAGTCATCTATGGACAAAAGTAGTTTTGGTCCTGTGATTCATCATCTATCATCAGATTCACTTTATAAGATGTTGCGTAATAATTTATCATTATTTTTTTTTTTCAAAAACCATCTGCTTCAATTACATATAAATTCAATTATAAATTTGATATAATCGACTATAATCGATATTGATAATTGGATGACACATAAATCAAATGAAACACGTGTGTCACGGACCAATACACACACACACACACAGACCAATTGACAAAATTCTCATCTATGTATGTAGATGAAAATTTTCGTCAAACAGAAAATGAAGATAATGATAATAATAACATTAAATTGTTATCGTTAAAACTATTAACGGCAAGGGAAAAAAAATGAAAATTTTTTTTTTTTTTTGAGCAATTGTCGCATCAGTAATAGTGGTAGTGTTTTATTCCAGTTTAATTCCAATTTATTTCATTTTAATCTTTCACTTTAAATGTCTAAAATATAATTGACATAACAAAAACGCGTTCAAAGCATGTCGACACACACACACACACACACGAACAAAAATGATGATGATGTGTTTGGTCTTATCATCAGTGAAGCAAAATGTGGCCGCATCCACATTTATTCTCTATGCTAAACGTGTTGGCAGCATATGTAACTGAAAAAAAAAATTTCAATTCACAAGGCTTGCTTGTGAAAGCAACAATCTTTCTTTTTTTTCCAAATTCAACAATAGTAACGGTAGTGTATATACATGTCAACCCCATAAAATGTTGAGAAGATTATATATCCTGGATATAAAAAAAAAAATCTTTTGAATTTTTTTTTCACTTTATCAAACGATGAAAAAAAAATTCTTTTTTTTAGACAAAAGCATCTATAGATATGTAATGACTTCCTTTTCATATTGTTGTTGTCAGTACTGTACTGTGGATGGTTGAATTATCATGTCTGTTGCCCACCTTATCTAATGTAATTAAAGCAATTTAGAATGATTTATATTGTATAATAATTTGAATACTTTACATATCATCATGTAAATTAAGACAAGAATTGAATATCCATTCCTAACATATTAATTTGATAATAAAAAAAAAAAAAATAAAAATTCACAATCAGGATGAAGAAGAAAAAAAAATTGTAACGTTCTCATTAAATATTTTCCGTTTGTTGTCCATTGAATCGAATTGTAAATATTTTAATATGTTACGGATACGTGACAGTTGGTTGATTATTAAATGAACTATGAAGATATAATAATGTTATTAAGTTTTTAAGTGAAAAAGTTTGCTGCTGATGATGATGATGATGATGATTCACAACAATTGGTGACAATCATTATCATCATGTGGCTAATACCGGAAGATTAAAAATGATTATCGAATGAATAACATAGACACATTCATTCATTCATTCATTGTATAATTCAATTTGATTTATTAACAATAATCAAATTTTCAAATATTTTTTTCGGAAATTATTTTCAATCACACTCAATGATTCAATCAATTTGGAAGAACAATATCAAAAATAATTTCATGAAAAAAAACAGATTATTAATATTTACAAAAAAAAGAATAGACTAAACACATCAATGTCATCATGTGTTTCAATTTCATTTTATTAATATAACTGTAATAATTTTTTTTAAATTCAATTGGGCTCAAAATTCAACACGAAAAACAAAAAAAAATAGTTGTTAGCCTCGAAACTCACAATTTTTTAGCTTGCTTCATATCAAAATTAATTCAACAGGTAGCATTTGCATTGCTCAATCTATTCACACAACAACAACAACAAACAAAAAAAATTTTGTCTTGTAATGACTATAACAATAGCAATCAAAAAAAAAAAAAAAAAAAAAAAATCAAATCAAAAAGTCAGTGAATCCAGTTATCAATTGCAATGAATAAACAAAACAAAACAAAAAAAATGAAACAATCCAAAACTATCAATTAATCTGGATATATAATGGATTGAATTCGTTGAATGATGAATTGAGAAACGAAAAAAAAGGAAGTTTGATTTTTATTCAAGGTTGTGGTAAACATTACTGTTGAATTACAATACGTATGTGTGTGTTTAGATGAAAACTTAATTATTACCAATCAACTCCTACTCGAAGAGAACAAACAAACAAATTATTGCCGAAAGAAAAGTAGAGAAGAAAAAAAAAGATGATCGCACACACACACACGTGATTCCATTGACAACAATAAACAAATTAGATTGAATTCGTAATTCACACTCACGATAATGAAGACGATCCTTAGAAAAAATGCAATAGAAATTGTCTTTGTGTTTATGTGTGAATGTTTTTTTTTTTTGTTTTGTTTTGTTTAATATGGCAAACTGATGATGATAATGATAATGATGTGATTTTTTTTATTAGTCTTATTCAAATAAGTCTAATTTTTCAGTGTTCATTACTTTATTGTTGCTTGATGATGATGCTAATAAGAACACAGGTAGATTTTTCTTTAATTCAAAAATTAAATCCATGTTTTATGTGAAAGAAAAAGAACAATATCGACATTGAAAATAAATACAACACATCTAACACACATGCACACACACACAGTAAATCCTTTGTTCATCTTCAACACGTTTTAAGTTTTACATGTTTGGATGATGTTTTAAACGAATAATTTGTTAACATTACGATTAATAATGATAATAATAATCGAACAAACTACAAACAGAAAAGATTACTTGTTTTTTTGAATTCAATGTTAAAATTTGATGAAAAAAAAGGTAAAATAAATAAAAATAATGTGATAGTGACCTAGCGATGGCATCATCATCATCATCATTAATATATTCGTGACTAAAGATTTATTCGATCATCATCAACATAATAAACGAAATCGAAATGGACAATTTCCTTTACCATTTTCATTTTCATTTTCATTTGGTCATATTTATTTTATCATCATATTGGGTGAAAGTGAATGGAAAATTCTAACAAATTTCAAATCACTTTCAAAACAATTTTTTTTTTCACTAACATCAACATCATCATGGTGATCGAATTTGATGACCAATCAAATGTCTACATTGAAAATTGATTTTCAGTCATTTTTTTTTGTTGTTGTTTTTGTTCAACTAACTGTACTTAGCCTTTCTCTCTCTCTCTCTAGCTCTCCTCCATTAGTGATTTGTGAATGGTTCGAATCATTCTACAAACTATTTTATTGATGTTGATTATTGTTATATTGCATTTGTATAAAAATGGAACATAGAATAAAAAAAATTCGATATTGATTATACAAAAGCTTATTCAGAAAACTAAAAAAAATCAATTGACAGACCGACAGATAGACAGGATTAGGAATGAACAACAAACATTGGGCGCCGTCTTCATTGATTTTGTTGTATTTATTCATTTCGTATGATGGGCGGTGGCAGTGACGATCAATGGCCATCACACCTTGTGGTGGCAACAAACATTTTGTTTTTTTTTTTTTTGTTTATCTTGGCCAAAATATATATATTTTTATTCATCTGGATGGTATAAAATGTTAATCACAAACATCAATATTAGAGATTAATCGATAAATGTATTTTATTTTCCATTTTCATCACTTGCCACACACACGCACAAACATACATAATCAGATAGCTAGATAAAATCTTCAAAATGATTTTTTATTTCAATTCAATTTTCTTTTTTTTTGTTGTTCATAAACAAATTTTAAACAATTCCAACAATGTCCAAATGCAAAAAAATGAATTAAATTAAATTGCCAGATGATTGAATAAAAGTTTGAAATAATGTACCAAAAGAAAAGAAAAGAAAAATACATTTCGTAAGTTTTATTTTCAATTTTCACAATAATTACTGTCTATTCATATATCATCTTCATCATCATCGTCGTCATCACCTGTTTTCAGGTGTTAAAACCAATGAAACCTTTGTAATTATTTTTTTTGCAGATTATTACCAACTTTCATTTTTCTATTCATCATATCTCTATTTTTATTATAAATCTTTCTACATTTTGTACATATCATTGTTTTTGCCCTGTATTCCTTTTGTCTTTTATTATTGTAATCCGGTCTTTGTTTATTGCATGATTCATTTGTCCATGTAAATTATTACGTAAAACTGAAATCGATATCAAGATCTGAACAAATTAAAGCAACCGTTCAACATTTTCCAAGTGAATAATTCACACGTTTACACACACACACACCATCATCATCATCATCATCATCATCATGATCATAATTGAACATTGAATGTCCATAATGGTGAGAATGATTGTGGATATATAAATGTATTAATGTAAATGGAAAAAAAAGATTCTTGAATCGTTGTTGAGGGAAAATGTAAAAAAAAGTGCAAGTTTGAAAAAGTTTGTTAATTAGGGCGTTGCTGTTGTTGTTGTTGTTGATTATGATGATGATGATGGATGTGTAAATGCACAATACATCAACAAAAAAAATTGTTGAAATTACGACATTGAAAACAAATCACATTGATATGTGTAATGGTGTGCCAAAAAAAATTGATTTTTTAATAAAACTGTGTGTATGTGTATCTGGTGTATAACCCTGCTTTTTTTTGTTTATCATTATAAATACCTTGGAATTGAAATCAATTCAATTAATATTTGATTGGAAAATTAGCTGTCATAATTTTCATTCATTTTTTTTATTTGTATACTTAACGTTGAATCATGATTTTTGATCGAAAAAAAAATTATTGTAAGTAATGAATATATAATGTACAGGATGCATAACAAATTTTATACATAGAATGAAAAACAATGATGAAATTGAAATTGTTTACAAATAATGAGACTAGATATTGAAACTTCTTTGATATCGATTGTCCACTGATCCGATGGGGAATGTATCATATCTTGGAATGTAATTGGAAGGCGGCACCAGGCTCAATGATAATGAATTTTTATATTCTAATTGAACAACAGGGATTTTCAATGCCTCTTTTTCATCGGATTCTTTTTGACGGAACCAATGTGTTTGAAGATTTGACGATGAAAATGTTACAAATGAAATTAAACCAATGCCCATTATGATGGCACCAGAAATAAATAAACATCGCCATAGATTAACAGATGTGGGTGATGGAGCAATTACAATGCCAACCAAATATGGTACCATAAATCCACTGATTGAGCAAAGTGTATTCATCAAGGCAAATACCGTTCCTGAAAGTGGACCACTAATGTCGACGACTGAAGGTAAATCACCACCTGATGTGAATCCATAACCAAGCATTAATGCGGCCAACAAGAATACATTTGGCCATTTTGATAATCCGATTTCCGATATCAATAACAATGATACGATCATTATCATTGCTGATGTAAATTGAAATAATTTTCGTATAGTTGCGGTTCTTAGTGAAGAATTTTTGATTAGATAGTCTGCAATGGCACCACATGAAAGCAATGTCCCCATATAGCCGATCATAATGAATGAGAATGATATGCCAGTCTCATCTACAGGTAAACCAATTACGCCTTGTAAATAAGCTGGAATTTTTTGACTAACGAAATCAAAGACAACGCCATAACAGATTTTAGTGGCCAAAACTCCAAGAAATATCGGTGAAGTCAATATATTAAACCAATATGGACTAATATTGTTTGATTGATTATCTTGTTGTTGGCTTTGTTTATCGTTTGACAATAAACTGAGCTCTTCTTTTGTAATCAAAGGATGATCCTCTGGATTTGATCGAACAAAACTAATCCACAACAAGCTCCATAATAAAGCCAAAGCACCTGTCAGATTTATCCATAAAAATTGATTGATTATTTTACAATTCAGACTGGTTATTAATTGATCGAATTACCTGAAAAGTAGAATACAACAGGCCAGCCACCAAAATTGGAAAAATATAAGATTATTTTTCCCGATGAAGCTGATATGAGTATTGTTCCCATAATGCTTCCAGCATCGAGCCAAGGTACAAATGTACTACGTTCATTTGATGGGATCCATCGAGAAAATAGACAATAAAATGCAGGATAAACTACTCCTTGAAAAGCGCCCAATAAAATTCGGCTACAAATGAACAATAGCCATGAATTTCGTGCAAGAAATGGTGTCAGTAAATTAATGATTCCCGAAGAGGATAAAGCAATGAAAATGAGCTTATCAGGTGGTATATATGATTCGGCTAGACGTCCTCCAATCACTTGTGTCGATAGATAGCCTATGTAATGAATTTCATTTGATTAGTTTATTAATCGTTTAAATGGAAAAGATTATTATTAAAACATACCATAAAAAAATGATCCAAGAATAATTCCTTGTTGTGGAGGTGTCCATTCGAATTCTCCGTTTCCATGTGTCTCCAATGGAATTGGTTCAAGTACCATTTGTTGGTTGATCACGGCTGGAGGATTATTGAGTAAAATATTGGTGGATGAATTTGCCAACATTTCGATAGTTTTCAAAGCAGGATCAGAATCTTTAGATTGTACCATGGCCAATATGGCAATATTTAAATTTACTCGAGTTATATACATTATGGATGTTCCCAACATTGACAACAAAGCAATCAGTACCCGTATCGAACATAATAATGATGGTTTCGGTTCTTTATATTCATCCAAATAGATATGGCTGAAGCTTGAAAGCTGACAATATCGCATGATTACAGATTCTTTGAGACCTTTATCAAAAGATTAATCACTTCAATACGGGATAACTGATGCTGTTTAAAATGATGAGAAGAAGAAGAAGAAAAAAATTGTTTGTTTACGAAAAAATTGTTATAGCCAATCCATTTGTCATTTAGTTGGCGATGATCGTTGTGTTGACAATGCTTGAAGCGACTAGTCTATTTTATACTAAATCGGCAACAAACTGAATTAAATACTTTGACAAACATTATCAATCGATATATGTCATTCATTGATTAATAGCTAAAGCTAAACGCTGGTAGTTCAAATGATCATCAATAACAGTAGCTGGAAGGTTTGTTTTTTTTCACTACCATATGTAATTGTGATAATAATCATCTAAATGATAATGGAAACATTTTTTTCATTTCACTTTTAGTAGAAGTCATTCATAATTATCAAAAATATTTCCAAACATGGTTGGTTCCATATATCATCATCATCATCAGTCTTGTGACTTTGGGGAAGACATCTTGACAATATGTGTTGCTATATTTATGTAAATAATAACAATGACAACACTCTTTTTGTTTAAATTGTTCGTGTGTGATAAATCAAATAAACGACTCGATGATGATGATGATGATGATATTTGCCTGATAAAATTATTTTGATATTTTTATTTGTTTGTTTGTAAAAAAATTTTTTTTATTCGGTTATTCAACTAAAAAATCAGCTAAACATTCATCAAGCAGTCATATTTCAAGAATTTGCTTGGAAAGAAAATTTTTTTTTATTCTTTAAATTCTTTCATTCATCCTTGAAATAATGTTTATTATGACGTATTAGGACATAAATCAAATTGATAAAAACTAATTTGAAAATTTTGACCTCAATTTTTTTTTTGCTTATAAATTTTAAAATTACACCATTACAAACATGATGTTTATGTTTTGATAGAATCGTCGATCAATTTGATTCTATACAATTTGATGGCATTTAGAATTTAAAAACCATTTTAAAATCAATCATTTTAAAATTGAATATCGATCGATAGTTTTGTTGTTGTTGCTTAATTCGAGCAACCAGACACATGATTTCTTCTTCTTTTTCCATTTAATGATAATTTAGCTATTATGTTTGTTTATTGGAAAAACCAGATTCATGATATCAAAAGGGAAGAAAAAAAAACGAATCCTAAATACAGTGGTATATCGTTTCTATTGTTGTTTTCTTTCCTTTTCCTACTAGAATTGTATAATCATTAAATATTTATCATTATCATTTATCATTCATAATGATTATGACATTTGATTTATTCATCCATCGAATAACATTTCCGACCAATTTAGATGAATTTCTTGTTCCTATCCATGGTCATATGATTTCTGTCATAAATGAGTGATCAAAAAAAAAAAAAAAAAATTCATTTCCATTGTAATTGTATTTTAGTAATAACATAAAATTACTGTTTTATTTGATCTTCGAATCTGGTTTAGCCTAGTTATAGTTTGCACCAGTATCCTCTACTTTTCAATTGATTCTGCACTATTGATTGCCAATATATATTGAAACAACAAGGCTAGTGAAAGCTGATCAAAGATTTTTTGGTCTCGATAAATTTGAATATTTGCATCTTTTTTTCCTAACTGTATCTCCTCCCATTTGTTGACTACGGTTGACAACTGAATAAAAGTTTTTTTTTCACTTGATTAAAATAATCCGGTTTGCGCCGGTTCGTGCTGGCCAATCGATCACAAGATGAGCCAAATAAAAAAAAAATCAGACCAAACATTCGGTGATTAGAAAAAGATTTTTATTTATTTATTTAATCTTTGGAATCGCAATGATAGTTGTAGCTATATTCAATTCAATATAATAATATTTGTCAAACATAATAAAAAATAAACATTAAATATCCACGTGCATGAATACAAATCGTGAAAGTATTGCAAATTGAATTTTACTTATTTGGAATTTTATTTAAACAAATATTAGAGGTCATAAGATTTTTATTTTATTTTGCAACGTTTTCGTCAATCAATAAGTAATAATACTATGATTGGCTGATTGATTTGATTGATTATAAGGGTTCGAAAGCGATTAATAAAAATGATTATGACCAAAAAAAAAAAAAAAAAAAATGATTTATTGGGGGTGGTGGCCCATACCGAACGTCATCATTGTTTCCGTTCAAGCCATTTATAAATGGCATAAGTGTACTCAATATTTTTCTGATATTAATCTCAATTTTTTTTTGGTTGATTATCACGAAATTAAATAGCGATTGTTGAATGAATCGATGAATGATGATCTATTGAAGTTTGTGTTGTTGTCAATAAAACGACGATGTTTGACTATTCATTAAATATCGAGTGCATTCAAGATAAAAAAAACATTGATGATGAACGAATCAATTGAATAATAATCATTAGTGTATAATATACATCGACAAATAGGCATACAAAAAAATAACAATAACGTCGACATACAAGGAAATTCGGTTGTCAAAATGTAATTAATATCCATTTAATGAATATGATGATGAATGTTTTGAATGTCATGATGGATTGCATAAACATATCAGTACAATAGTGCTAATTTTCAATGGCTAATTTCGTTTTACTTGTTCAATATTTGGTCCATTATGTCCAACATCGATATCGATACCACAAATCTGTCGTAATTTTTGTTTATGTTGATCTTCATTTTCACGAAATGATGTCATAATTTGTCGAATGCCTTTATCGCTAATATATTCTAAATCAATCAGCTGAACAGTGTAGGCATTCCTAAGGCGTGCAATTGAATTCAAACTTTGATCAGTAATTGATGCTCGTTTTATTGAAAACACTTCCAATAATGGACAAAACGTATCAATTTTACTGATCGAATGATCAGTTAATGATGATTGACAACCAAATAATGATGATGCGGCGTGTAAATATAGTTCACGTAGCTTTGAACCACATGATTTTAATATTTCCAACACTGAAAAATCATCCAATGAGCTTTCAGAATCAAAATCATCAATCTCCTCAATGAGATATAGACATTCTAATTCTTTTAGCTTGGCTAAATGAATGAAAATTCCTTGTTTATATTTTCCAAAACTTTTGAATATAATTTTCAATGAAATTAAATTCTGAAAATGATTGCCTAGTATTTTATATGGCATTGATGGATTAAAACAATAGCCAACATTTAGTTCAAGTTCAATAATGTTTCGCCCTTTTCCTTGCAATAAGCCATCAAGAACACGAACATTTTGATTATAATCGGCCACAATAGTTTCTATTTTGTCAGAAATCCATTCTAAACATGTTCCTTGTAGACGACAAAAATTATTCGCCATATTTAAATAACGTAATTTATCACAGGATTTGATTATTAACCGTAAACAAGTTTCATCAATACGGCATCCCGAAACATTTAATGAAATCAATTGTTGACCATAAAATTTAGCCAATTGATAGAAATCGGCTTCGGTGAGGCCAACACAATTGGATAGGTCAATATTGGTCAGATGTGGACAATGACGATTTGTTCGTAATATTAGATTCACTCCATATACATCCAAACAATTATGTTGGAAACCATATCGATACCCTATGGTGAGAGAAAGAACAAAAAAAATGGATATCAAACAATACAACATTATATTCATATATAATTAAATGTTTGTATGTCATGCATTATTTGACTTTTTTTGTTTCGCCTCATCCATCATAATATTATGACATTTTTATAAAAAATAATGAAAACAATCCCGTTAACTGATGAATGAAGTCATTTGTTAGCTTTTGTCGAAGTTGTCGAAAAAATAAAATTAAAAATGATAACAAATGGCTTGATTTTGTTCAACAAAAATTTTTTACCATACAAAATTAACACCATTTGGCAAGCGGCAGGGAACAAAATTGAAAAAAATATATAACATTTTCCGCGATCTATATAAACCTAAAGGGTCATTAATCTTGAAAACGAAAATGAATGTTTGGCATCTAATTGCTCCTGGTTTTTTTGTTTTGTGTTGTCACTATTGCTAAAAATGAATAATCTAGAAATAGATTTTTTTTTCACTAAAACGTCCCTTGAAAATTTAATTATCATAAATTAAATGTGCTTACCTTGGGCATATTTTAATAATCGTAATTTCGGTAATTTAGATAAAATTCGTTCAAATATATTCAAACGAATAGCATCGATAAATTGATCATAATAATTTTGTCGTATCTGTTTATCACTATTATTATTATTATTATTATTAGTCGTTTTTGTTGTAAATGTTTTCAATTCTTCAAAAATAGCCTGACATTCAGCACAACGGTAATCATTATAATTTCCATTAGTATTATTATTATTCTGATCCAATAAATCAATGACAGAATCTGATGATGATGTAAGACTTGTCTGTGATGCCGATAGACTTGAGCTTGAACTTAGATTTTCACTAGTCGATGATAAACCGGAACTTTTTGATTCAGCATAATTATTTGATTCATCACGATCGTAGGCAATTTTTTCATTGATAATAGCTTGACATTTTTCACATGAATAAAATGAATTTAATGACAATGAAAGTGGATCACGTGTATTCGAATCATTGGTATTGTTTTGAAATTCTTTTTCATCATCATAATTCATTCTTTGTAGATCATTATATTGTTTACCATAAGCAAAATATGTACGTTTTGCTAAATGAAATTTAACACATTCATTCCAGAATGAACAAACTAATTGACAATTTATCAAATCTTTAAAATCAACATATTCAAATACTTTGGATAAACAATGAAAATTTAAACATTTTATTGTACGTATTGGAAAACGTGTCGGAAGTGTTGAATTTGATGAACATGATGCCAACATATAATGGGGTGTTGTTTGAGATCGTCGTTGATACAATAATTGCTTACGGCTTGGTTTCCGTTGAGGTTTCATCGGTAACATTTCCGATTCAATTTGTTGTTGTCGTAGTTTTTCTTCAATATACATTGTTTGTTTATATGTTTGATTGATTGATTTATTCATTGATTTTGAAAAATGAGAATGGATGGTAAAATTGATAGAGATTGAATTTCTTTTTCATTGAAAACTATGATTTAATTCGCGCCCTGACATATACTTACACACACACACACACACAAACATATCAAAAAACCATGCACTGTCAAATAAAATGATTCGACAACATGAAATCTGTCGTGTTGAATTTCCAATAATGCTATAGAAATATCATTCAAAATATTCCGACATAGTAGACAATATTCTGAAAAGATTTGGCATTTATATATCAGACACACAAACACACACACACACACACACACACAAATACTAACATTCATAAATATAGCCCAGTCATTCTGATGCCAGAATTGTTGCTTGTTTCAAACACCGCGATCATATTAAAATCTGTACAGATCCTCTAGCCAAATGAATAGTAACAGCTATAGCATAGCAAAAACTTGATGAATTCATTATATTTTTGTATCAACAATACGAACCCTAAAGATCAGTATGCCGGGTATTATAATTCAAACAACGGCGATAATGATGATAATGATGATGATGCATTAAAAAATTCTGTTACCAAAGAAATGATACAGTTGAATGGCAAATTGAGCAGACTATTATTATTATTATTATTATTATTATGTTGTCTTGTACGTCATCAGATTCATTAATTATTCGAATCGAACTATGTGTAAATTACATTTTTGGCTCATTAGTTGTTTTACAAATTTATCCATATGGATAAAATCAATGATTTAATTCATGATGTAATAGTATTCGAATAAATTGCGTTTTTGCAATTATTTAATTACCATAAACATTTTCTATGTGTTGAATAATAATCGGAAAATTATGGTAGAAAAAATTTTCATTCATTTATCGAAACATGTATGGAAAACGCTGTATGGTTCCGTGAACGATTCATTGTTCTTCCTGATTTTCATCATAATATTCATCATTATGTTCATCAAGTTTACAATTGTCAACTTATCAAAATTTATCTAAGATGTCATCGCGTTGAACATTGATGACTTATTTTTAACCATTATTTACTTTTTTTTGGCACCATTTATATTGTATACCGTATGTGGTATGGCCCAAACAATGGATCGGCTATCATTCTCTTCCTTGAATTTATTTGATTCAATTTTCTAGATATAAATTGAATTGAAAAGATTATTTTACATTTGTCATTTTTCATTCTTTATGACAATCGACAACAAAAGATGATGACCATCTTAGATCTCGGGAACAAATGTATTCGATTAATGAGAATAGATAATCTCAATCTTGTTCATTTCTATTGTATGTTTGTGTTGTATTTACAGTAAAAGATTTATATTCATTTTATTTTTTTTTCAATCTTCTTTGTTTGTTATTTGAAATATTTTGGCAACATACATTGATTGACATTGACACCAATTCATAAATAAATAAGAATGAATGATAGAATTTCTGAACATGTTAGTTTAGAAATTTTCATCATCATCATCATCATTGAAATGATTATAATCAAATCGGTTCATCTACTACAAAGTGATTAATGTCATGGTTCTTTTTCTCTTTTTTTTCATTCCATTTATCATTGTGTGTTGCCATCATACAATGTCACCCACATATATTCAAATCATATTTTGAGATGTTCATCACTATTATCATCATCGTCATCGTCAAACATAACAATTATTCATCATCATGATAATTGTTTGAAAATTATTTCATCGATTATAATTGTCGAAAGGAAAAAATTCCTTGGAAATTGATTCTTTAAAAAAAACATACACACACCACACGTACACACCCAAACTGAGAATTTCGATTTGCAATGGAAAGAATCTATTTTCAATTTCAATATAGAATGTCAAATTTGTTTGTTTTTTCTGTCTCTATGTTTGTCGTCAACAATAAACAAGTTGATTAATCAATTTATAACCATTCTAATAGTTACATGGATTAATCCTTAAAATAAAACAACACATTCATGAACCTAACTGAATAATCGACAAATGGTTGTCTATTTTTAAATTCTTTATCATCTTCATCATACAGAATGGATTCAGATTTCTAGTTCAAGGATTTTTTTTAAAGCTTACATAGTTGATATGTGATCATCGTTATAGTTGAATGCTTAACAATACAACTGACAGAAAAAGATGCGTTTTGTTTAGGCATTCATTGAAAAAATAATCATAATCGACAATAAAACAAAGTTGATGATAATGATGAATGAATTGGATAGAAAAGAATTGGAAATTATCACTACGTTTCAGATTACATTAAGATAATAAATTTCAGTTTAGATTAGATTAAAAGTTAGCTAAAAGTTTTTTATGAACAATTTTTTAAACACAAAATGAATGGAACCAATTATTAATGCGAATAATAATGCGAGTTCATAATCAAGCAACCAAAGATTCAGATATGTTAGAGCAATATCTTTAATGATAAGAAACAAGTGAACAACATAGCTATGCTAATAACGAGTAATGTTCATTTTGGTTGATTGATTGACAAGGACAAACCTTAGAAATAACTTCGATGACACAATGTTGACAATCAACAAAATATCCATCAATGACATCCGTTTTCCTTCTTCAAAAGAGGGCCATGGTTCCGATGCTATGGTGAGTTTTTAGCTGTTGATTTGAATGCCATTTTAATAAATCACTCTGAAGCACAATGATCCAGACTATTCCTGCGTTTACGTCCAGATCGGTGTCAATCATACCAATAAAGATTTAATAGGCCATGGTTTGACATTCACAATCGGACGAGGCACTGAAGTAGTGTTAGCCGCAGCTTTAGCTTTAAAATCTATTGTTATAAACACAGATTTGGATCAAGTGTTTAATCACGCTGGCGGCTGGGTGGAATTTCATCGACGTCTCACCAATGATAGTCAACTACGGTGGATAGGACCGGAAAAAGGAGCCATACATCTGGCCACTGCAGCCATCGTCAATGCAATTTGGGATCTATGGGCAAAACTGCAGGCAAAACCTTTGTGGCAATTACTAGTCGATATGGAACCAGAACAATTGGTCAATTGTATTGATTTTCAATACATGTTAGTATCTCACATTAGCAAGACTATCATTTGAGAACAAATCATTCTTTTTTCTTCATAGTTCTGATGCGTTGACCAAACAGGAAGCTATTGAAATTTTAAGTCGTAATAAATCATCATTACAGGAACGAGGTAAGTGTAGTCTACGATCATCAACAGAATGTTAATTTGTCTATTTTGACAGTGGATATTATTCGACGTGAAGGATATCCAGCTTATACTACTGGGTGAGTAAGAAAATCGTGCAATGTCAAAGACAATGATCCAAAGGGCAACAAAAATAATTACAGAGTAGGATGGACAGGATACGATGATCAAACACGTCGTCAATTATGTCGACAAGCGTTGGCCCAAGGTTATACCCGATTCAAAGTGAAAGTTGGTTCGGAGAACATCGATGATGATCGACATCGATTACGTATCGTTCGTGAAGAGATTGGTAGCGATAAACTTTTGATGGTCGATGCAAATCAAAAATGGGATGTACCCGAAGCAATCGAAAGGATGAAACAATTAGCTTCATTCAATGTGCTTTGGATAGAGGAACCAACAAGTAAGTATTAAAAGTGTTGCAATAATAAAATGACATCTTTGTGTTTGTATCCCCAGGTCCCGATGATATACTTGGCCATGAGCAAATAGCTCGCCAATTACAACAGTATGGCATCAAGGTAGCTACAGGTGAACATTGTCATAATCGAGTTATGTTCAAACAATTCTTAACATCTGGTGCCATGCAATACTGCCAAATTGATTCATGTCGGTTGGCTGGCGTCAATGAAGTTTTGGCCGTAATCTTGATGGCTGCTAAATACGGCGTGCCAGTATGTCCACATGCCGGCGGCGTAGGTCTCTGTGAATACGTACAACATTTTGCCATATGGGATTATGTGGCAGTCACGGGAACTCGTGATAATAGAATGGTAGAATACGTACCTCATTTAATCGAACATTTCCAACATCCAGCTCGAATTCTGAATGGTCATTATATGGTTCCCGAACATGCAGGTTATGGCTGTCATATCAAACCAGAGTCTATCAAAACTTATAATTATCCTAACGGTACTTACTGGGCAACAACAACAATTACAATGATATGATGAAAATGGATTTTATTCAATTCCAATTTAATACCATATAGAATATATTTGATATAAAAGTAATCAATACACAGATGACAACAATTGAATTATAATATTCCCTATACTATAGCATCTAAATCAATCAGATCCGATCGATGATAAGGTCTCAAGAGCCAATGTAACCTTAGCAATTTCACCAGTCAATTGTTTAAGACGATCTTCGTGGGATTGCTTAACATCAACCGGTACCTTGGTCTCATAATCTTGTATAGACATTGATTTATGTAGTTTGACCATTTGACCGTTCAGCTTTTCTGTCTTTGTTTGTAGACGTTCCGTTTCTTTGATCGTATCGACTAGACCTTTAAGATGTATGTAAGCCTGACAATGGTCAGATATTGGAATGATGGCACAACCAGCCGGTGTGCAAGTTTCCTTCGAATCCAACATTTCTACAGGTGTGCAATAACTCAGCGTCTAAATGGTATAACAGAAATTGTATTCAATTACATGATTACTTATAATCAATGAAAACAATACACTTACCGCGATAGTGCTTAACAACGGTAGTAATCGTTTTTCAAGATCACTGCTGCTTGCATCGAAACGTATATGTAGGGCTACTTTTGCCTGTTTGAGCAGATTATATTCCGATCGTAACGAACGAACATTATGAACAATTTTCTCCATGAATTCGACGTCGGCTTCTAATGAAATATCACGTGACCACACGAATTGTTCGGTTGTTGGATATGGTGCAATGCATAAAGATATAGGATCAAAATCGGGTCGACGAGGCAATCGTTGAAATAACTCTTCGGTGATGAATGGCATCAATGGGTGCAACAATCGAAGACCAATATCCATTACAGTGTATAGCGTTTGACGTGCAGCTTCGGCAGCACGAGGATTTTCCACTTCAGCCTGGAACACCGGTTTTATGCATTCTAGATAGGTGTTGCAGAACTTGTAAAGCCAAAAATCATACAGGATCTGTGTTAGATCGGCGAAACGATATTCTTCAAAAGCAATATTGATAGATTGAGTGGCCTGAGTAACACAACTTAATATCCATCGGTCCATTAATGATTCATTACCGGTCAATGGATGTTTAACTGGCAAGGGTTTGAAATCCTGTTTCAGATAGAGCAATGTGAATTTGATCGCATTCCAAAGTTTGTTACAGAAATTTCGGTATGCTTCAATAAGCTTGATGTCCAAATTGATATCACGCCCTTGTGTAGTATAAGCCAACAGACCAAACCGTAAAGCATCGGTACCACATTCTGGAATGCCGTTAGGAAAGTCAGCTTTCTGTCCGGCTATGGCTCGAGCGACTTCTGATTCATTGAGATTTGAATTGTGTACAGTTTGATGCAATTGCTCTAATGTGATACCATTTATAACGTCTAATGGATCAATTACGTTGCCCAACGATTTGGACATTTTACGGCCATGTGCATCTCGAATGATCGAATGCAAGTATACAGTTTCGAAGGGTAGTTTGTCGTTAAGCAACAAGCTCATCATGACCATACGAGCCACCCAGAAAAACAGGATATCTTGACCAGTCTCGAGCAATTGACCTGGATAGAACGCTTTTAGATCATTGGTTTGTTCTGGCCAACCAAACACGGCAAATGGAAATAAAGCTGATGAGAACCAGGTGTCGAGAACGTCGTCATCTTGCCGTAATTCAATTTCAGATTCGTTTACGTTGAAGGCAGCAGCTGCCTTACTACGAGCTTCGTCGGGATTTCGACCGGAAAACCAATGCTTTTGTTGTCGAGATTCAACATCACTATCGTCCAGTGGTTGGCCTTTCACCTGGGCAAAATATACTGGAATACGATGGCCCCACCAGTTCTGGCGTGATATGCACCAATCTTGAATGTTCGACATCCATCTTAAAAATATAAGAAGATAGAATGATAAGTTTGTGAAAAAATAGTCAACGACTTACCTGTTCCAGAAATGGACATGATTTGAAGGAATTAGACGTAGTTGATTGGTAGCAACTACATCGATTGCCCGTTTAGCAATGTCCTGACAGTCAATATACCATTGGAATTTGACCATTGGTTCGATTATGTCCTTGGAACGATCACATTGTGGCACAACCATTTTGTTGTCTTGCCAGCCCCGGTACAAACCAAGTTTGGTCAATTCATCAATGATAACCTTGCGGCAATCGAAACGTTTCATACCGGAAAATTGGCCAAAGCCAGGTGCGATAAGACCTTCGTCTGTAATCATTACAACCAAAGGCATTTGATGACGTTCACCGATGATGTAATCGTTGTAATCATGAGCTGGAGTGACTTTCATAGCACCAGTACCGAAATCGATATCCACGTATTCATCTAATACGATAGGAAGTTTACGATCAACGAAAGGATGGCGTACATATTTTCCATGTAGAGATTTATAACGATCATCGTTCGGATGAACTAGGACAGCCGTATCGCCCAACATAGTCTCTATACGAGTGGTTGCTACGATTACTTCTTTAGGTCCATCTGAATCAGGTTCATCGATGGGATAGGCAAAGTTATGCAATACACCGAACTCGACTTTATTCTTGTAATTTGGCACCGATAAAAACGTACGACCGGTCAATTCTAAGTGGTTCACTTCAATGTCCGATATGACTGAACGTAACGTACAACACCAGTTTACCATTCGTTTTGATCGGTAGATTAGTTTGCGTTCGTGGAGACGAACAAAGGCTTCTGTTACAGCACGACACATTTTAGGATCCATCGTAAACACCGCCCTATCCCAGTCAACCGAGACGCCAAGAAATTTTAATTGTTCGTAAATGTGATCACCTTTTTCGTTTTTCCATTTCCAAACTTCTTCCACGAATTTCTCACGGCCAAGATCATGACGGGTGAGTTTCCGTTCACGCCATAATTTCTTCTCAACAACAATCTGTGTTGAGATTCCAGCATGATCACAACCTGGATTCCACAATGTCGTACGGCCTGACATTCTATGCCAACGGGTGAGACAGTCTTCGATGGCATTGGTCAAAGCATGTCCAAGATGTAGGTAGCCGGTCACATTCGGTGGAGGTATAACCATGACGAAGCGACCACGAGGATTGTTGGTTGCCAGAATATCAGTACGGCCGTATTCAGGTTTGAAAAATCCCGATTTCACCCACCAATCGTACCATATGGCTTCTACATATTTAGGTGAATAGGCATCAGGCATTGGATCAGAATGAACATCCTTCTTCTGGCCTTTAGGTATGGATCGTTCATAGGTGACCACAGTCTTTTCTTTTTTCTTTTTTTCTTTACGGCTAGTTTCCTGATCGGTCGCAGTTTTGTTTTTCAACTTTTCTTGTTTAGCTTTGAGTTTTTCCAATTTGGCTTGTTTAGCTGCTTCTTTCTTTAACTCTTTTTCGGATTTCACTTTGGTTGATTGAGATGTTGTCTGTGATGATTGATCACCAGCAACAACATTAACACTGGGTTGATTATCGGCCATATCTGATCAGACTTGTTAAGAATAAATAAATATACAAAAATTACGTGATAAATACTTGTTCCAGTCAAAACTGTTGCATCAGAAAATCCAAAAAAAAGCCACGTTGTCCATCAATTACAAACAGCTGAAAACAGAATACATTTGCTTGGAAATTTTTTTTGTTTCGGATTGAGAGATTTCTTTTTCCGAAAACATTGCCATCTCATGTATTGACAGATTCTTGGATGGAAAAACGGAGGTTGAGCCCTCTTTGATTTCAGTAATCATTGATATTTGTCATGGTCATCATTTATGATTATAATTGAATATATATACAAAATTAGTATAAAACAACACCTACAAATTGTAGTGACAAACAATCTAGAATGGAGATCAAAGGTAATTTTAATTATCAGTGCACTACTTTAAATTCTTTGGTCAGATATTTAAATTGTTGTCAGAATTTTTTTGATTTTTTTAAAGTTTTTCAAATCATTGGATAAATGATTTGATTTTTTTTCTGGAAATCAATTTGAATTGAATCAAAATTTAATTCAATTTTTTTAAAACAAAAATTGTCATATAATTTTTTTTAAGTAAAATCAAACTCTAATTGTTGAGAAAAAGTATAATAAAATTATCAATTCTTTGAATTACATGTCATTTATTGTTATGAAATTTATAATTGATTTTTAATTTTGTTGAACTATTGCTTTTTTTTGATGGACTTTATTTTATATATTTCATTATAATACTCCCGGAAGAGTGGATCTTCTGGTTCATTATCTAATTTAATCAATCAATCCATCAGTCAATTGTGGTGTTGTGATTTGTAATATGATTGAGCCATATCTGGTACTAAATAACTGGTTAAAGCATTCCGATTAATGCAAATAGAATTCTACATAATCGCTAATAGATTTAACGGCAATATTAGTAATATGGGGAGAAAAATTCAATTTTGAGTGATATCGATGATTTCCAAAATTTGATTGTATCTGAATGGGTGATTTCCCCAATTTAGAAACAAATTTCATCATATACAGAATCAAGTAATTTATACCTGTCTGCTTTAACTTTGATTTTTGACATATGTCTACATGGCTTCAATATTGAAAATCATAACAAATGTTTACTTGAATAATATGAACAAATAAAAATATCTATATCCTATAACGAAATGGAAAATGAAAATGTTTGTATTTTGTGTATCTGATGTTACATTTCTAATATTTTACAAGATTGACAATTGTTTACAGAAAAAAACCAGTTTTCCATTCCACTCGATTTACCGACGCGGGCCTTTATTCGGTATACAGGTGCGGACTTGGTGTAGTTGGGTATCACGTTAGACTGAAGAACTTCCTGTTCACTTCCGGTTATCTAAAAGTCACTGGTTCGAATCCGGTAGTCCGCACTTTTTTGCATTTTTTACAAGTCGTTCAAACTTTCTTTTGCTTGAAATAAGTAGAAAAGTGAAATTCAAATCATTTCTTGTATTTTTCGTTAAATTATCTCAATAAAGACTGAAGAACTTCCTGTTCACTTCCGGTTATCTAAAAGTCACTGGTTCGAATCCGGTAGTCCGCACTTTTTTGCATTTTTACGAGCCGTTCAACTTTTTTTGTTGAAATAAGTAGAAAAGTGAAATTCAAATCATTTCTTGTATTTTTCGTTAAATTATCTCAATAAAAAACATTTTATACAATGATTACGAGAATTCGGCTATTTTGTGTATTTTTGATCTTCATTTCGTTATTAAAAAAATAAAAATAACTAAAAGTGCGGACTACAGGATTCGAATCCGGTAGAAGAAGGGCCATGTAAAGTTATCCTAACAGTAGGCTTCAACGCTCGATATCAGATAGAGAACATCAAACGAGAATTCGGCTATTTTGTGTATTTTTGATCTTCATTTCGTTATTAAAAAATGAAAAAATAACTAAAAGTGCGGACTACAGGATTCGAATCCGGTAGTAGTCAGTCCGCACTTTTTACATTTTTACGTGCCGTTCAACTTTTTTTTTTGCATGAAATAAGTAGAAAAGTGAAATTCAAATCATCAATCAATAAAGAACTCGGCTATTTTGTGTATTTTTGTTCTTCATTTTGTTATTAAAAAAAACTAAAAAATAATTAATTAACACTTGGCTACATTGGACAAATCAAACAATCGTTTATTGGTTCAAATTAGTCGGCGTACTTACGTACGTTTACATAAATAGAAATAAATAGACAATCAATAAATGAGACACATGAGAAGCAAAGCTCAGCATCATGTATACAAGATTATTCCTCTTCTTCTTCTTCCTCTTCCTCCTCTTCTTCTTCTTCTTCCTCTTCTTCTTCTTCTTCTTCCTCTTGGGCAGGCGGTGGAGGTTTGGATGCTGGTACTTGAGCTGGTGTCGATTCCTCGTCGCCACCGGCGGAATCAAAGCCCGGTGGTTTAATGAAGGCATCCAACAGGTCGAGGTCATCTTCATCATTCACATCATAGGTGCGAGCGCCAGGTTCATAGGTCTCCTTGTTTTTGGGATGTTCAGGATCCCATTTAGGTAGTGTGGATTTATCCTTATCTTTGAATTCTTTAACACGTTCTTGCCACATCTTTTCCAATTGTGCTTCGACCATGGCGTCGTAGCCCTATCAAGTGTAAAAAGAAAGGTCATTTATCGAGTTAACCAATGTGAAATAGAAAACATACGCCTTCGAACAAGCTCTTTTTGTCGTTGAATGTTCGACGATCGACTTGTCGTTCGTATTTGGATGCGGTCAATATTTTTGGTGGGAATTTGCCTGACAGAGCACTATAAGAACAAAGAGATTTATTTATATATGGAACAATTATTCCTACTAATGAGTAGAATACACGTACTCTGGATCCAGACCCTTTTTCAAGGCCTTGTTTCGATTGATTTGACGTTGACGTTCGGCCAATTCTTTCAACTAAGACAATTGGAAAAATCAGTAAATGTGTTGAATATACTATAGAATCTCTTTTGAAACTCACGTCATAGTCCTGGCGTTTTTTACGTTCCTCAAGATCGTACTTATCGCTTTCAAGTTGTACGATCATATCCCAGAGTTGAGAAGCTTTCTTTTTGAGGTCATCTACCGAAAGACCATCAATGTCCAAGGGTTTAACACGAAACGACATAGCGATACGTTTATCTTCTTCAAGTTGTTCTTTGGTTTTGCCCATCTCGGATCGAGCCGATATTACGTTCGAGAACTAAAACAGTCACTGTGTGTGAGAGAGAGAGACAGAAACTAAAAGGAAATGCACTGAAACTTACTCGATCAAATCCACTATTTCCAAGGGCGGCACCCGGTCCTCCATCCGATCGTTTTGTAATGACAAAGTTTCGTTCCACTTTGTCTTGACCGGTTTTCTGCTTGTTCAATGCAGCTTGCATGGCAGCTCGTTTCCTTTCGGCTTCTTCAAGACGTTTGCGTTTTGCTTCGGCTTCTTTCGATCGTCGTTCTTCGAGTTCCTTAATACGCTGGGCTTCCTGTTTTAATCTCCATTCTTCGAGCATACGTTCTTGTTCAGCTCGTTTTTGTTTACGGAGAGCTTGCCGTTCCTTAAGCTTTCGTAAATCATCCTCTTCTTTTTGTTTTTGCTTTTTCCGTTGTTCAATGTACTCAGACCATTGTTCTTCTTCTTCCTGTTTCTTCTTACGGATTTTTTCATCCATAGCAGCTTCAGCTTCCGATTGAGCTTCAGCTGGTTTTTCTGCTTGTTTCGGTGGCTGAGGCTTCTTGACCTCTGGTTCTGGCTCTTCAATCTCTTCCTCACTGGTGGTCATAATTAAGTTAGAATATTCGTTTAAATTTTAATAAGGTAAAGTTAAATACCTGTATTCTTCTTCGTCAGACATGATTACGGGCGAATTAAGCTAAAAACTTCAATACAGGTAACAAAGTAAAGGTTAAAATGAACACAAGCTAACCAATACTACTAACCGAATGAACAAAACAAAACAAAATGTACGACGACTGGTCCTGGTGATGGCTAGATGCCTACTGATCATCGAAACAGATGCACTGAATTAAACAAGCCAAATTCCATCTTGAAGGAGCAGGCTAGGCGGATCCCCAGGAGTGTGAATGATGGGCGTTAAACATGTTCAAGGCAAAATGACGCCAATTGTAAACGAATATCGAAAATACGGAATTTCACTTGGGCAATATCACCCAATGGTTATATTTAGACCTTTTTGAAATCAGAAAAACAGATGCCTGCAGAATAGACAAATTTAGAATTTCATCAACAAAAAAAGCTCAGTTGGCATCATACCAATCAACATACATGTACGGCTTGTTTGTCCCAGTTGATATTTTATGAATTTCAAATCAAAAGAATAAATGAATAAACCGACACACCTATAGCAAAAAGCAGACGACGACAGTGGTTCATGTGGTGACACTCTAACCACGAAATCGCATATGTACATCAAGACGCAATCTTTGGCATCGATGCCCGAAATAACCTCATCTCTTCTTATGACGTTCATTCGTTTCATCCAATGTATTAAAGTTTGGAGCCATTCCATTTATGGCAATCAACACAAGAATCTGAATCGAGGCCATCAGCAGTTGTTTATTTTGAACGGCATTAATTCTGTGATTCTACTGCACAATCGAATCTATTTAGCACCATCTATGATTGATACACTACAAACCAGTATAGTTTTTTGTCTACACAGATAGATGGCACTCGTCGTCGGTTATCATCAATGTATGATTCTAGTAAGAATCACCAATTTGTAATGGAAATATGTGTATCCAATTGATGACAAACTGACTAACGTTGAAAATGATTATGATGACAGCATGTGCCACACGATTATTAACCATACGGACACGTGCATTCTTTGGCCAAAGCGCAAAGAATCGATCCATCAACTCTGATGCTTCGCTTTGAGGAATCCGTGCAAGTAAGTCATTATCAAATTGAATCGAATGGCAATAGCAATGAGTGGTTGGGTTCATTTGTGGTGTGTGTTATCCAAAAGGTCAAATACCTCAGCTTGATAAGCCCTGAATGTATCCAATGACATCTGGTCCGGAATTGAGGCTTGCAGAATTAAGGCTTGCTCGGTTTGTGTGAGTTCCAAAAGGGCCAACCAGTCATTCTGCAGTTTTGGACCACCAACAACACGTGCATCGATATGGCCGATGGCATCTAATTATAGAAGGCCAGCATATGGTTTTATATTCAGACGACAGTTAGCTTTCAATAGTAATGTAATCAGTGACAATTCGTCATAACATGATTCATATATAAGACAACAGTTCAATATTATGAATTTGAGGCGCAATCAAACAACCAAACTAATATATATGGAATCAGGCAATCAGACCGATATAAATGGTGTAAGACGAATCAGGTGTCCGTAAGCGAAATAGTTTCCATGATTAAGTATTGAGATATGTATAGATGGGCAGATGTATTGAATGATTGGGCAAACATACACACACAAACAGACAGGACATACTATATCCCCAGAGTATATGAATACAGCAGCCATCACTGTCCAAATGTTCGATTCAAAGGCAGCCATCTGCACTGAATTTTTTTCATTTGAATGCAATCTGCCATCCAAATACTGTTAGAAAAAGAGAGAGAGAGAATGGTGGATTTAGTGAAAATAGAAATATCCTTACCGATTCGATTAATCGGATAGAGCTTAAAATTGGGAGAAAAGAGAAAACGGTATCTATTAGTTTACATACTAATCCAGCATCAACAGCACGAATTATCAAAGAGCTCCATCTGACCAGCATATCAATAGCCAATCTAATCGAATTGAATGTCCTAACAGTTGGGAGCCAATCAGGCCATTTCACAAGTTTTCTGGCAATTCTGGTGCACATGTCCACACTGTATGCCTTTCTAATTCTGATTATCATTCCAGCATTGAACACCTGCTCACAGAATGACATTTCCAAATTTTGACAAATCATAGAGACTTGAGACTAAATCTACTATGTGTGCCTTTCAATAATTCTGAATTACTAAGGGCCGCCAATGGATGAATGGATTGAATGATCGTCCAGAAACACTTACACATACAGATGATACGATCCATTAAGCAATACTGATGGCGATTCAAATTTGATGACATTAGCGGCTCACACATCTGCCAATGGTGCGTCATCTTGTTTTTTAGCACAAACTCCCAATGGATGTGTATTGCATGCCGTCGATCGGGAGTAAACTAATAAATCCAGCCAATCGAGCAAACATTTCGATTGCTTGAACAGATGCGATTTTTGTCCATTTATTTATACATACAAACACACACACACACACACTCATACAGATACAAAGAGAAAAAGACAAAATTCATTGGGTCATGTTTGAGATATGAATTAATCCAGTCCCCCCATTCATTATTCATTAGGACAATATCTTAGTTAGACAACATCTGTTTATCAGCCCATCATCATATCCATAGTATACAATCATTTGGAGCCATTTGGCTAACTCATCTTGATCAGGTACAGTACAATAGTAGATGGGTGCTTTATCCATAATAATTGCTATGATATAACATAAACACATGGTGATTATGATGTATAATTGGTTATAATCATAGATAATCAATTCAAACATAAACAATAGATCTTTTAACTTTAGTTGAACATTTGATCATTATATCAAGCTAAATCCATTGTTTCATGGGCGCATTATTGATGTAAAGCTGTCATGATTGATAATAGCATTTGATTAAGACATTTGGCTAATCATCGGGTTGGTCATCAACCATACACTTGTTGCTTTCTCTGTGTTTTTGTGTGTGTGTGTGTGTGTGTATGCTGGCCTATCCTACAATTGACAAACAAAAACGAAGGACCCATTGGCCAATAACAATAGTCAACAATAGTGATCGACGGCAACAAAGCAAAGCCGAATTCCAAATGAATGTTAATAATGGCCAACGACGCCAGTCTGTCTTGACAACACCTGAGAATTTTGCTTACCTGTCCACCCTTGTTTTTTGAATGTTGAAGGCTAGCATACCGTAGCTAACAAAGGCCACGATCATAGTCTTGTCTCATTTAATGAATCTGTTGTACGGTCTATGGCAAGCCATTCTTTTACTAGGCCATAATAAATATTCTTATCAATGAATGACTCTTGCCGCCACGATTAGGACAGGTGCTGCATGCTTGTTTTCTTGTACTTACACACACACACACACATACAATCTTTTTAACAAAGCCAGATAAAATATTTCTTTTCATACTGCAGACCATAGGGCACATAGTTGATGCAATATGACTCTAATTCACTTTCTCTGATCACGATATTGCCATCCGAAATCACATCCGGCGTAATTGATGCCAGTATGACACCGTCAAACCATCGAACATTTGATGATGATCATTTGGCAATGATGATTTTTGAAGGCAACGGCCGAAAATTCAATCAATCGATAGCTTGATGATGGATTGAAAGAGGCCAGACCATATACACCGATTGTCGATCAAGTGTATGTCAATCACAGCAAACACATTGATAGCTCTATCCTTCTTGATCATCACAACCTTGCATGCCATGGATTCCATTCAATTGTCGAAATCTGGTTTTCATCGAATTTCGATCGATTGAAAGCGTCCATTATTGGTTGATTGGTCTTTGGGTCGACACATTGGATGCAATGGATTGAGAGTATTAGCATCCAAATATGTATCATACTCTTTTGCTTTTTGTCTGGTGGCATTTGCCTGTATATTTATGTGTGTGTGTGTGTGTGTGTGTATGTTTATGGTTTTTTGTCTTGTATATTTTTTCTATTTACTATTGAATCAAATCGTTTGTCTATTTGGTCGGTTGTTGGTTTTTGTTGATTGAATGCAGAAATGCGGTAACAGAATGCTGAGAATGATCGGATTTGTTTCATCCATCCATAGCAGGCAGTCAAACTCAAACACACACACACTCATACAAACAATGCTTTATTCTTTTTTTCTCTGACTGGAAAAACAATAGTTCACAGTCATATCAATAATACCAGTAGGGCTGCTTCCGATTATCGAATGCTTTTTGGCTGGATTTCTGGTTCTGGCCAACACCACCAAGTGAGTGAGTGTTTGGTGAAGATATACACAGTGGTTTTATTCATTTGATTGGCATGTTGTTTGCATTCATTCACACACACACACACACACACACAATGCCGTCATTCAGTTTAATCAACAACCAGAATGATGAATGAATAGGCCAAAACTATAGTATGTATTACAATCCAACAATAACCAGATCCAGGCGTCATTGACTGGCTTACAATCAACCAGTCAGCCAGACCATCTACATCAAGGTCAAAGACAAGAATAGATTGCACCAATACACGTGTTCATTTGCTGACCAAACGACCGTTGCTGACCTCCGGTCTGGAAAACGGACACGTGTCAGAGAGCACTGTGATGAAGCAAATTTAAAGCAAACAAATGGAAATCCATTTTGATACAAATGTTCTCTTTCACAGTGATCTGGCCGGATCAGGCATGGATCATCATCCAATCCAGGTGTGTGTATTCCAGGCGATGCATCTGGTTCTTGGAGAATAGAAAATGGCATCATTCTGGTGACAACCTGCTCTCACTTTTTTTAGCATTTGGGGTTCCAAATGTCATCCTAATTCGAATACGAAAACGCAGATGCGCGCGTTGGTGGACACACGTTCGATGTACAGATGTCTCAACGGCCAGACAAGCAGATGTATTTGGTTATTGCCCGACAGATTTGGCCAGATTTGACCGACCGTCTTTTCGCAACAACTATTTGACTATAGATGAACAAATCAAAGCCAGATGTTAAGGGGCCATGTGACTGGATTCTTTAGCCCATTAGTGTGTGTGTGTGTGTGTGTGTAAATTCAGTATGGGGGGTGAATAATTTTCAATGTCTCCATACGGGATGTACGGCCATAATTCAATTATGAATTCAGTTGTATAAGGACAGAATGGATTGAGCCACGTGGTTAAGCTGTCTTAGATAGGCATATTAAATTGACATTTGGATGTGATTGGTATTCGATTTGGCCAAATGGCGACAAATGGA